CTTCCCCAGCAGAAGCAGAGGTTTTGTGTCGTGAGGTTAGAGACGGTGTGGTGGCCTTGTGTGTGTCACAGACAGCAGGCTATTATTCTCATAGATGTCTAGACTGTCAAGTGAAATAGCAACTTCACTCCAAACTTCTTTTGTGTAAGTACTCTGGCTAAAACAGAATGGGTTTGGACAAAAAGCTCAAAAACTGCAAAGGTCTCGTTTAAAAAGTTAAAAAAAAACGCAAACACTACTGAATGAATTTCCGCAAAACTTGGATGAAGGTCCGGACAGGCTGACGAAAAATGTTTTATCACTGTCTTTAACATTGCGAGATAGGAAGCTTTTCCACTCACAGATTTCTGAAGGGATACTTCATGGATCTTGATGAGAAATCTATGAGTGCGTGTGAAATTTGGCGCAGAAGTAAAAACTAGAATCTTGTAGGGAGGTTGTGCATTTTCAGCCTCTGTACGGTATCAAATATGGATGTAAAGTCGGAAAATCAAGAGTTTATCTCAAGATTCAAGAGAACATTAATGTCAATATCATTGAGAACACAAAATGTAAGACTATAAATTGAAGGTTAAGCATGAAATAGAAGTAACAAAACTATTCGATAAACTACAAATTACAAAACACGTTACTGCAGAGATAAATAGAATAAATACAATATAATGGATGTATATAATGTAACTTCAACAGGTTTAGAGCTATGGTTAAAATATGATGATGGGTTTGCTGCAGAATTTAAAGAGAAACTAGTTAAAATAATGTGATATAGCTTTTCAGAGTTTCAGAGATGGTCAAATTGAGTCCAGCGTTTGATATTCTCTTAGTGGTTTGTAAGCTTCAGTACGGCGCAGGGTGCAGAGTCCAAAGAGATGGAAATGAACATCAAATAATGCTACATCCATCCGGTCAAATGCTCCTGAAATCACTAAAACCCTCTTCTCTGTCAGAGAGAGCACTTCAGAGGGATAACTGTATCATTTCCTTAACAAACGTGTGCTGTGAGAAACCCATGATAGTTGCCCAACTCCGAAGTGGTAAAAGAGTCAGACTTATCCATGGGCAGAATAATGGGAAAGCACACTGATAAATATTGAACATCCTCTAATGAAAGAAGATCAAAAAGCCTGAGCTGAAGACGAGCAGCGCCGACACATCTTTCCCATAAATAAAACATGAGATACTGCAGGCTTCTACTCTCAACCCCAGATTTAATGAGAGAAAAAAATGAAACAAACACATATGGTGGGACATAGCATCGCCCCACACTCTCAGGTTCTCCCAGTACGGTAAAGAAGACCCTAAAGATGATTTTTTAAAATACTGAATTATTGTATTTGCTCCAGTTAAGGAAAACGTTTTGTTGAGGGTTTAATTTTGAAAACCAAAATGTGCGTGTGTGTGATATGCAATTTCAAGGCGAGAAAATTATAGGGATGACTTTTTTTTTTACCTCCCTTGGTATACCCTACTTGGAACTGGTTCTAGGAATTCCATTTGGCTGCATGAGAATTTTGAGAACCGTTGCATATTTAGATATTTTTATGTATGTTAATTAATGCACATGTTAATTAATGCACATATTGGCAAGAATGTATTCTAATATTAAAACATTAATTTGCCCTACTTTACAGGTCCTGGGTCCATAGGGTTCTAGGACCTATTAACATTTATCATCTCTATTAACTGTATTCCTCTTTGTAACATTTATTATATAATAATTATAATTATAGATTATTTTTTTCTACATAATACGGCTTCACAGCTGGTAAGCAGAATGACCAAGGAGCTCCAATGAGGCATCATTCCACTTGATGAACTAGTCATCGCCTACTTAGTCTTTGGCTAAACACAATCTGAAGAAAAATATATACATATACAAATATATACTCTGACTGCGGAATCTTTAAAACCTTGGTTATTACTACGTTTATATAAATAAATATAATATATATTGTCAAGATCCAATTTGGAAAATTTGCCATTTTCAACATTTGTCCTTTTATCATATAGCTTCATATTTTTATTGGCATCTTCCGATAAACTGCATGCCAAATATTTGACTGACACAACGCTGTCGACTGCCTTGCTGTTAGTTATGGCCCAATATCAAGCTGGTCCCTATAAATTATTTAAGTCTCCTCCAACATTATTGGTTCTGCTCTAAAGTATTGGAAAAATCAATTTCCTTCCTTCCTTCTGTTACTTAAAGTTATCTTGCATATTCAATCCCACCAACTCTCACAACTTCTGATTGAAACATTAGTCTATGATCTTCCAATCTGGAAGAGAGAGATCCATCTTACTGTCGGAGCCTGTGAGCGAGGGGCAGGGGCAGCTCTCGCTCACATGAAGTACTTTACAGCTTCTCTGGAGTAATATGTCAGAAAGTTGGCAGCACACATGTGGGCGTGCTGATCACGTTTCTAACATGTGATGGACAAAAAACTAAAAAGAGAAAAAGAGCACAAATATCTCTGGATGAAAGAGAGGTGAACACTTCAACTCAAATCAAGATTTGAGACCTTTTAGGGAATAAACGCAGATGATGTTATCGAATTTATTCATCATGTCCTGTCTCCTGGACGCCAAATGTCTATGTTTCCGACATTTTCCTACATCTTCTGCTGCGTTCTTCATATGTGAAACTGCTTTAGTGAGAAACATGCAGGCCAGGTGATTGTGCGTAAAGTTGTTTTTTCAAATTAAGTATTTTGCAGCTAACATCACACCATCTACAGTACATTTAATTCAAACTTTATTGCACAGTAAGCCCATTTATATTATGTATAAGATCAATCCTATCTCAATTAATTAAAAAACCTGCTTGTCTATATTATTACAATCCAACACAGGATGTACTTTTTTCAGTTTTGCACTTAATGAAACCCAAACTGAATTATTAGAAAAGATAACCAAGACGTCAGAATGGCAATTAAATACAGCACGTATCACCAATGAGTCATTATGGCTTGAACTTATACAGGTTTCTGTGTTTTTCACCACTGATTTGTACAATCCAAAGTTATGTTTTTCATTGATTGACTGTTTAGTGTTTCATTGGAATTAAAACCTCTGCGTTCATGGCTCATGGCTGATCATGGTGAACGTTAGGTGGACAGCAGGTTTGTAAGGATGTACCACAAACCAATAGCATTGGTTTTAAAAAGCAGACACTTTGTGCTCATTAGTTGCCAATGTTGTGTTATGTCTCAAATAATATTACGACTGTGACAGAGGTCTGGGACAGTTGGGTTGCTTTACTAAAGCCTCCAAGGATAATACACTAAAAAGCTGAAATCGTCAGTAATAAACAGTTGCTATCAAAAACACAGAGTTAATGAGTTCATTCCAGGTAAAAGGATGGAAATAAACCTGATAAGGTTAATTTAAGCAATTTCAACTTTTAGCGGAATCTATGAGTTGGCGTAAATAGGCGGAAGCAAAAATAATTACTCTACTCTTTGAACAGGGGGCAACATCCCAATTAAAATAAAACAGGTTAACATAAGAATCCAATTATGCAAGTTTAGCAAAAAGCAATTCGCAACCGCGACACTGCATCCGTAATTGCTTGTCATATACGTGAGAGGCAACCTGCGTAATCTGTCATGGAAATGATGTTCTCTCTCTCTCCCTTTCTCTTTCTCTTTTGCGGATGCCAATTACAGTTTAAGCCTCTGCACTATTTGTCGTGGTCATGGGAGGGAAATGGGACGGGGTGCTGCCAATCAAAAGCACAAAAAAAGGATTTGAGAGCCAATTTACTTAATAGTCAGTAAGTACTTGTAGGCTGCTTAAAGGGTGACTCAGAATACGCCTTTAACATTTTCCGTTGCTGCATTAACATGTTGGTCTTCGCTGAAAGTACAGGTGCTAAATATGTACACTATATATAATGGCGTATATGCTAAGTCGTGAAATGAAATCCTGATCTGAAGCTTTGTGATAAAGATGTTAATAGGAGAGAACGCCAATCTATGTACTGATCCAATAAAACGTCTAAAAGTATTTGACTTTTATCCAAATAAAACATGAATTTTCTATTCACACAAATCACTCCGAAACAACAACTTTGCACTGTACTGCCACTAACAAGTACTATTTTCAGAGCAGTGAAGAAGTAGTGATATCCGGTAGTGTACCATCATTATTTTGGTAGTTTGGTTAGATTTTGGAGTTAGTAGCATACAGCTGTTAAACTATGTTATGTAAGATGTTATTGTTTTAAATGTGGTGGTATCAGATTGGTACTTGGTATTGGGCGATACACAAAGTCCAGGCAGCTGGAAGTGAAAATAATATTGGAACTTCTCTATTCCTCTCTCTATTGTCTCTACTTGTGCTTTGTTTGTTGGCCTCAACTAGAAGGAAAATAAAGTAGGGCAGTTTAGAAAGTCCCATGCAGGGTGACTCATCACTTGGAGCCAGAAAAGCGCCACCAGCTGTTCACAGTGGAGTCGAAACTGATCATTGAGTATGACTAAGGCAAGTTATCCTTTGCATGGATCATTCTCTCCGAGACATATTCCCTGCTATTTAATATTGCACTGCGGCCGCTCGCTCTGTGAATATGAATGTACTCCTAGCCCCTGTCATATTTCAAGCCCGTTCCACGTTGACAAATCACAACTTGGAAATGTAGGGGTTTTATCTTTTATTAGAAGAGAGAGTATTGTTGTCAATGTCACTGAGTTAAGACCTGTATCACTTCTGCTTTTCCCACTTGGTTTGAGTGATGATTCTACACCTGCATATACTGCAGTGATATAGATCTCTCTGTCTCAAATTTCGCAAAAATGTTGTCTTGATTTTGGACAATTTTTATCTCATGTCCAAGCAAGCTTTATTGGGAGCATAAAATTGTAGGGACTACAAAAGTGGACGGAGAGTTATCATTTCACTCTGTGTCCCAAACTTTCTGCTTTGTTTTTGTCTAAGAAGCTAAGACTTTTCTGCATGAATAACATATCATATATACTTAAAAAAAAGTATTTTCATACCTGCAGCATGGATGACTCACTCAGGTGGACAATGAGGGTCATTTTAAACCTCTGTATCTGGAAGCATGTATGTGTCAGCGAATGACTTTTAATGTCATTAAACACAAATTTAAAGGAACATGGTATATTCTCAATGCAGGAAGACCTACCCTGTAGATCAGGGGTCCCAGACTGGCAGACTTCCATCCAACTCCAGACTGCTAGAGGTTTCCATCTGAACCACGAAGCATCTTTAATAATGCAAAAAAAAAAAGCCTTTTTTATTTACTTGGCATCACAATGCATTGGTTTGTGTTGCTATCAACATTATATTCAGGTAGGAAAGCAGACAGACAGAGATACACGCAGATGCAACATCAAGCATGGAATTATCAAAAATAAGATAAGGCTGACAGTGAAAACTGAGTCTTCCAAGCACAGTAGACAGAAGAGTATGCATTTATTCCTCCTCCTGCAAACTAAATGAGGCCGGGGTTTCTTATTTTTGCTCCAAGTCTGTCACAGTTGTCTCAAGCGAAAATGTAAAAACCATTACAGAACTCTAACCCACAACAGTCTGACGTATGGATGTGGAAAATAAATGAGCTCCTTCTATAGGTGGTCTATACAAAGCTGCAAGCAACCTGCATGTTATTCAACTGAGACCTCTAGTGGCCGTAGTGATTATGACGGGGGCAAAGGTGGAAGTTAACTGTCATTGCACACAAAGCAACAAGGTCCGCAGCTATTTGGTTTTAGTTCTGTTGGTACAATTTGAGTAAACTAGACAGTACAATCTGGTTAACTCACCCTCCAACATTAAGGCTGCTACAATATCAATAAATGAACAGAGTAAACTGCTTTTAAAGTCCCTCACTGGCTGCTCAGATTCACAGTAAGCCATCTTACACACTGACCAGCTGTGCTTTTGCGGCTTTTCCCCTTGAGGTTTAACAGTCAAGAGATTATTACTGCCTCCTGTGAAACTCTGCCTGGGAGAAATGTGTGTGTATACTGGGTAGCAGCAGTTGTAGGAGTTTATAAACTGTAAGAGCACGGGCAGCGCATTTATCGTGTGCTGTCACATATATACCTTGCCTGCAGGTATAAAGGTAGGTGTAATGTGATACTCCTTAGAGCTCCTTTCTCAACACTGCATTATTGTCAGTCGTAAACGACATTCAAGCTTGTGCAATGTCTTTACTTGGACTGCAACATGTTACATCTTACTCTGCAACATTTATCTTTCTTTCAGCGCCTTTAGATCTTCCAAAACAGTATTGTGGATCATCGATAATGACATTCTCCCATATGCATGCATAATATGTTTTTCAATTAAAGGACAAGTGAGGAATGGCATTTTATAATTGCTCATTTGAATTTGAATTTGATAACTGCTATTGCAAATGGCTTGCCTTTGTATTACAGCACAGGTAGAAAGGTTAACATTAGAAAAGCCAAGATTAATATCATCTACATGCCACATGCTGCACATAAACATTTTAGACGTGTCAAAATTTGAATTCAAATAATGCACAGGACGAAAAACACACAAGTGCACAAGTCTATTGGAGGATATCGACCACAGCCCATTTAACATCTGGTTGCATCAGTGGAAAACAAATCAACTTGTGCCGACCTGTGAAGGGAAGATAATAACCACAAAGCATTCCTTGATCCCTTATTTCCTGGATATAAACCCCTGCCAAGGATACACTCTCAAGATGAGCAATTAGCCTGTCCCATTTTCAGAAATAACACCACCACTTCAAGGTCTAAAAAAAGACAAAACAGTGGAACTACAGTCACTAAGACCACCTTTTTACTGACATAAAACCTCTTCATAAAATAGGACTTTGGCTAAAATGCTCTAGTATGTTGTGACACTTAGATACCCTTGACGTCAACCTCAAAAACTGAGTTTTAGTACTTGGTGGGATCATCCCACAGCACATAAAAAAAACAGGGTTTCTTGAACTATAGCTCAGACGGCTCAACCCGACCAAGTAAAGCTGGCTTCTCTTCCCATTCTATATGTTAAGCCCCTTCTCTTTAATAGAATGTCTTTAATCCGGACGCATGTTGTGCAAAGCAGTATGAAAAATCATGTTTAGGAGATTAGCATTGGAATCCTTGTTCTTCTCGCCAAAGCTTATCACTAGAGGGCTTTTTTGATGCAGACTGTGGGGCAGCGCTGACTCAAATGTTTGTGTGCGTGTGTGAGAGAATGTGTGTGTGTGTGTGTGTGTGTCTGCAGGGACGTACAACTGGTGCATGAGTCAGCAGTTTTGGCCAAGGCCGTTTTCCCAAAGCTGAGTCTGTGCACAGTTCAGAGACCCCTACTTTGGATTTGCAAAATCTCTCCTTCCTATGAATGTAGGAAAACCTGCAGCACTTTTCTCTAATTTGAGACTTATTCATTGCCTGTAAAGACATAAAGAGTTTAGTGAGGTAAAAAATTACTTTAAATAAGTATTTGATGAGATTTTATATGCAATACAAATCTTAACTGATCTAAAGAATACTAATTATCCAAGAATCTCAACCCTACTGAAAAATCTTCCCATCTGGCCTTCTATCTATCCTGAAGTCTCAAGTGCACTGCAATGCAATAAGACTTGTGAAAACAACATTATAATTAATGTAGTTATCTTGAGAGGCACGTATAATTGATCAGAGAACTTTCTAAGACACACATGCAATGAATAACAACATAGCCCGGGAAGCCATTAAGGGAGACCTGCTGATTGAGAACGAGGCAGAAGATAGTCTTGGGGACAGTGCCGACAGTGCTTTTAATTGATCCACAAGTTTTCAGTTTCAAATTAAACATTCACTGTTTGAGTCTTTTTTTAGAAATAACTGTCAGATTGAGTCAAATAAAATAAGATAGTTATTCAGTGGTGGTACTCTCTTCGTTTTTATTACAGCGTTCTTAGATTAATTAAGTCTGTTTAGCTTTTAATTAGCTAATTTGGGGGCAGATGACCATACCGATATTAGGGAGTTAAATTGTTTTGGCAATGACAATGGCAATGATTTCCAAGATTTCATTATTTAACCCTCATGACAAATAAATGTAATGAATTGATATTTTACAGTTTAAACCATAAACTTAAGAAGAAACATAATAAACATAAATGCACATATTTTCAGCAAAGATTATTCACCAAACTACAGTATTACTGACCACAAGGAAAAGACAAAAGCATATTTCAGTACTTGACAGCTCCCTTTCAGCCACAATCCTAGAGGAAACACTTAAGACTAAAGAACCTTAGCATTTTAAATACTTGTTTTAATGGTCTATAACTAATACTGAAGTAGCGGACTGCTTGCAGCCTTGCACTCGAGTAGCCCTATGTAGGTAGGTGACATCCCTAGCAAGGACCTATTGAACTTGTTTGTTTCACATTAATATGTGGCACAAACACATCCTCTAACAGAGCAAACTGGGTCACTTGGGCTTTGAGACTAATCCACCAAGGCTAGCAAAGTGAAAAAGCTGAAATGGCTTTAGGTTGAACCAGTTGCAATTAGCAAAAAGAGTATCAACAGACCAACAGATCTATATGGCTGAATGCTCAATGCTGGAAGGCTGATGCTAAAAGCTCAATCTAACTAGATGTTTAACTTTATACCCCAGGGTTGAATAGGTAATAAGTCTATGAGCCGTGAGCACAGGTCCAGGCTGATGTTTAATGCTGTTAACTCTACAGTGACAGCTAGTGGACAGGTAAGGAAGTACTGAAGAAAGAAATATTGAATGGCAATGAGGTAAATCACAGGAATTGGAGGGAGATTAGAAAAGAGAAAGGAAGTTGAGCGTTAGCCACGACCGCAGGGAGTTGGAGTGGATGTTGGTGAGGGTATCGCTATCCTGGATAATTAAGGTAAGCTGACACCACATTGACCCCAGAAGTCAAATTACTGTGGGTGTACGACTTTATCTTTAGCCAGAGGATTTTAAGTAAATGCCTCATTTAGTCCGTCAGTGTCGACCCATGCAGAAAACGTTAGGACTGATCTCCACCAGCAGCACTTCAGAGAGGAATAAAGGGAATATTGTGCGGTGCTGAAACCAATCTGAAACAGCAGCATACGTCATCCTCGCTACATTATGCCTTGACAAGCAATATAGCCCCAGATATTAGGTGAGGCACTGAGGCAGTATTGATCAGCTTCCACCTGTTGCTTGCTGCTACAGCTGAAATGAGACACAATATTTCACACAGGTTTGCTGTCATGTCTTCAGTTTAATCACATTTTTTTTTGATGGAAGTTTTTTTTTTTCAGAATGCAGGATGGATTGCAGTCGAATGCAGAGCGTGCATGTTTTCAGTCCTGCAGAAAGCTGCACCAGTAGATTGTATCGATTAGCTGCTAATGCTAATCAGTGAAATCACCTGCTGGAGAGTGTTGGGATATCCTCAACACGCTTGACTTCCCGCTACACATGGCTACGACTATTTCACAGGAGAACCCAACACATTTTTTTTCGGGCTTTATATTATTTAAAGGAGATAAAAGCAGAACATTTTATATCTGAGGGTGAAATTTGCTATTTTTTGATCAAATTGATTAATTGGGTATTTAATGCAGCTCTACTTTTCAAGTGAATGTAGTTTCTTAAATAAAAGAACTTAACTCCAAACTGAGAAACACTATTAATTGACATCTCCTCTTGTTTGGCTTATTTTTATTTATTGTATTATAAAGCACATTTTTCTATGTATTGTTATGGTCTTGGTCAGTGTAGATTTCTATCCTTTGTTGGAGTGATTGTGAAGAAATCCAATTCTCCCCCAAGGGAAATATTTTTAATAAAGTATTTCTAGTTCTGATTCTGAACAATACAACAGTTGACATCATCAGGGTTACTTTTTTCTTCTACTCAGGCTCAATGAATAAAAAAACTGGAGTTCCCTTTTAAATGCAAAGTAACTGTATAAAATACACAGTATGTAATTGTATATTTGGTTCTATAGCATTGTTGAGGACGCAGTGAACTGCGGTGACCTACTGTGCTAGAAGAAAATAAATCATTGGTGTAACCAAGGCAACTGAGTTAAGAGACTGATTGACATGCCTCTAAGGTGACATGAGCACAGTTCAGACAAGGTTTCCTGTTGTTGGATATGGAACACTTTCCCGAGCTGGGACTGGAGGAATGCGCACACAGTCAACAACTCTGAAGAAGTGAGCCACATTGAAAAAAACTTCCCTCCTGTCACTGTC